CCCCTCAAGGCAGAACCGCAGCGATACCCGAGCGGAGGGCACCCCTCAGCCCAGCCGCCCTCAGCCCGCCGTGACCTTCATTCCTTCATTCGTTCCTTCGTTCCTCCATTCCCGCCACCCCCGGCGGCGCCGCGGCCCTCACACAACGCCCCCCCCCCCCCCCCCCCCTCAACCCGCAGTGCGGGGCCGGGCCGCCCCCGCGCCTCCTCACAGCGCCAGGCCCGGGGGAAGAAGGGAAAGGGGGGGGGGGGTTGAGCGGAGGACAAGCGAGGGGGCGAAGAGAAAGAGTCGAGCCGCCCGCAACACTCACTATTCCTTGATGAGCACCATGGCGGAGCCTCCCGCCCGGGACGGCCGCGCTGAAGGTGACGGGCGCCTCCCGGCCGCTCCGCTGGACCGCGCCGCACCGGGACGGGGGGGGGGAGGAGAAGGGGGGGCAGGGCAGCGGGAGGAGGGGCGGGGCGTTTCTGCGGTAACCGCTGCGTCACGGCGCCACGCAGGCGTGCTTACGTCAGCAGCGCGCGCGCCTGGCGGGAGGCGCTCCGTGTGTGGCGGAGGGAGGGGTTGGCGGGAAGGAGGCGTTCGCGCTCTCTGTGCTTCCCTCAGGGCTTTCCCCCCCCTCCCCTCCCCTCGAGCCGCTCCTCGGAGCCAGTCGCTAAAAATACTCTTATTTTGAAGGGAGCTAACAAACGGCGCTTGTGTTAGCGCAGAAAGCTGCGGTCGTTGCATCTGCCTGCTGGAAACGGTGGCTGCAGATGACTGCGACTGCAGCTCCTCACAGATCCTCGGCGCTGCCTCAGAGCGGCATCAGCTGTAGTCGGTATTAAGGGTGACCTCAAATTCCGAAAGGCACTTAAAAAAGGCTCTTTTTTTTTTTTTTTTTTTTTGTCTCTGTTTGACCCGTGCCCTATTTAATGGAGGAAGTGAGCTGAAGGTTTTATAACCTCGTCGTTGGAACCACGCAGAGCATGGATCTTTCTTCAGTGGGGAAATAAAGCTGTACATTCAGCATCACCAAGCTCACCCATGGGTGACTGAAGAGCCTTTCTGTTCTCACCATCATGTAGCACCAGGACTCACAGAATCGTTAAAATCATTAAGGTTGGGAAAAAACAAAACCACACAAAGATCATGAAATCCTCTTCTGCAGGCTGAACAACCCCAGTTCCCTCCCCATAAGAGTAGTTGTGCTCCAGATCTCTCACAGCCTCATTGCCCCTCTTTGGACACACACTCCAGAGCCTCAAACCCATGGAGGAGTTCATCTTTCCATACATATTCAACCCATTCATCTGCCACCTCTCAGCACCAGCTCACCCTGGTGATGAACACCGATCTCTCCCTCAACGCGCTGTCAAAATAATTAACAATTATCAAAAAAACTATTAAAGGAGTAAGATTTTCTTCTCTCAGATTGAAATCCTGCTGTTAGCCCCCACCCAGAGAAGAAAATCACAAGGAAGCATTCAAAGGGCAGCCGAGCAATTTGGCAGATGGCACCACATGAAGTGCTCACGCTTAACACAGTCTTGTTAGGAAGCAAGAGATGCTTTCACAATACCCAGCCTCAAAAGGAAAACTAATGATTAACTCAATACCACATTTATTTGTAGATAGCACTGTGAGAACGCACATCACCTTACAGACACGTAAAAGGTGACACCGGCCTGCCACAGAGTGCTTACATCTCAGTGTTGACAAACACGCTATGAAACAAAAATCTTGGCAACAAGAGGAGGGTTCTGAATAATTGGGTTATTGCAGGAGTAATAAGGGAGTGGCAGGCATGAGGAAGATGACAGCGTGGAGCACAGCACACCTGATAAAAACAGATTGCGTGACAGGCAGAGCTGCACAGGTAGAAAAATAAGGAGCTGTGGGGTTATAGTTAACGTGTCAGACTGCACCTACAGAACACGGCACTGTTTGAGCTGTTTCCAAAGGTGATGGTGGTGAAGTGTTATCCAGAGTGGCTTTATTTCTATTGTTTTTTGGAATTCTAGTGTGATATTAGCTTGTATTATGCAGAACTATGCGTTTCTGAACAAAGAGGTAGGGGAATAGCAGAAGCTCTGCAGATGCAGGAAAATAACATTTAATAGTAATAATTAAAAAACAACACTCAAAGGGAACAACAGAACAACAGAACTTGCAGTTTTTAAGATGCCACTCTTTTTCCCCTGCAGTATCTGCTTTATATTTTACGGCATATTTCCCAAATCCATCAGCCTGTCAAGAGGGAAATCTCCTATTTGCAAACATTTTAGTGATTTACTGTCTTGGTTTAAAAAAAAAAAAAAAAGAAGAAATCTCATTATCCTACATGTTTCCTTTGCAGATAGAGGATATTGGCTGGGCTTTGTTGTGAGAGCTGAATACTACATTTGTTGCTGTAGCTTTGCTGTTAAGTTGGACTGTCAGCAAGATATTCTCCTTTATTTCTGTATATATCAATATCCAGTTACATTTTAAGGATCCAGATACTCTGACAATAACCGGATGCTGTTACAGGTCTCCAAATAAGAAAAAAACAGCACAGGTTTTCTCTGCAATAGCACTTTTGCATTACAACTGTGAAGACTCTTGACGAGGCTTAGGTACTGACAAATTAGGGGAAGACAAAACCTATTACTCTTCCTTCCCCATTCAGTTTCTCTTAAAAAACAAACAAAACCCAAAACATTAAATGCATGAGAGCTTCCAGAGACTAGGGGTAAGTGAAGTGGCATTTATAGGTGCCATCACTCCACGCAGTAACACCCCTAATGGAAGGCTCCTACAAATAGGCACCCACAGCTCACGTTTCTACTTCATTACATTTACCTGGGGATGCTTCTGCTGAGAAGGTGAAGCTTTTTCCAGGACCATTCCTTCACATTTCTAATATAAGTGAGGGGAAGAAAAAAAATAAAAAACAATTCAACAAACAACCTATTCCTATGAATAGGTTGAGTGCCTATTCAACAAGGCGTTCTAGCCTTTAGGAATAACTGATATGGAATACTGATGTGTATTTGGGAATTACAGGTAAATGCATTATTGATCTAATTAATGGGGCTCTCCAGTGTTTGGTTGTCCTTTTATTTTTTTCAACAGGGGTGGCTCATGCACACCAAGAAGTGCACTGGGAATTTTCTTAGTCCTGCATCACTTGGCTAGGCAGCAGCAATGTTGTTTTCCATTCCAAACGTAAGGAATTCGCAGTTACATTTCCACAGGCATCAAAGAACAAGGCATACTACTCCTGAACAGTCATATTTAACAGGACCACCTCAGCAGTGTTTGTTTCTGTAGCATCCAAGGCAATGTTTAGAAAAGGCTGAAGCCAGAATACTTCATTTTCTTAGAGCCCACGCCTACATAAGGTTCAGCATTTAAGCAATTACGTCACAATTAGCACAGTTGGTGCACATCTTACATGCAGATACAGATTTGTAGATAGATAGGTTTGAGGCTGATTTTAAAATTAGTTTAGTTCACAATTGTCAGAGTCAATTAAATTCCACGAGGTCAGATCAGCATTCCACCCAGCCCAGCATGTATTTTCCTCAATCTCTGATAACATATTCTTGGAGACGGAGTGTGCAGAAGAAGATTAATCTTTTCTTGGTGTAACTTTCCTATATACAGCAACTAAAATCTCCCTGAGTTATTGGATGCATCAAGCCATTGTTTAATGAGTCCCTTGTGTTTAAATAATAACAATAATAATCTGTTCTCTATCACATTCTACAGCAATAAATTTCATCAATTGACATTGGGCTGCCGTGACAAAGCACTCCCATTAGTCTGCTTAACCCTAAACAACTAAAATCCATTGTGTACCCACCTGTCCTTAAAACTGCAAGCCAAAGGCACGCTTTACTCTTAATCTAAAACACAGCCTAAAAAACACATGACTCAAAGGCATGAGCTCTATTCTTCACAGCTGACCGGCAGCTTCTACACACTGTAACACAGTGGCAGAGACGACAACCACATATACCCAACGTTTTATCGGATGAAAAATACCAGATTAGACAGTTTCCCTAATAAAGGGCAGGAACTGAGAACTGCAGTAGGGAGGTAGATGACAGGAATAAAAGGGTGCTCTCTGTTTAATTTAGCTACGCGCACTTCAAAAGGCAGCTGCATCTCCACTGTGCCCTCATGAAAGCGTGTCACTCTCTGTACTTCTCTATTTTGCAGAGGCATTTATGTCAGGAATTCAAGTGGAAGAGAAGTGGACGATATGACATTCATTATTTTGAAACGGAGGTGCTGCTGAGTTAGCACACAGCCGTCCTTCCAATCTGTCTACTTAGGGATGCAGCTCAGAATCGCTCACCTGTCTGAGAGCTTCTTGGAAAAAAAAGAGATATGTAATGTCATTGTCATGTAAAATATCTTGGAGCAAAAGCAGAAATCTTTTCCATGGTTTTAGAAGGACGTGTAATAATATAGAATGCAGAAACCTGCAAAAATCTTCTAGAAATCTAGCAAAGCTGTATTAGTGCTGGTGGGTCTCTAGGCTTGTACCAGGAGAAGAGGAAATCAAACCAAAAGGCTGCCTCCATCATCACTCAACACAAAGGATGTAAAGCTGGGAACGCGGGCAAATCATCACCAAAGCTTGAGGCCAACAGAAAAATGAAAATCTTCAGAACAGCATAGTGTTGACAGCAGGCAATAAGGCTGCCTCGGAACAAACACATTTAATAAAGGCAACATATTAAAAAAAAAAATATCCACAGATTTGTAGAATGTTCAAGTGGCAATTCATTTCCAAATAAGTTACTGGAGGCTAAAAGGTACCGTGAGTGGAGCATCAACTGAACTGCCACCGGGTGGCCAAGGGCAGCGACTCAAGATGGCGCTGCCGTCCCACACAGCCCATATCCCGGTAACACGGAGTTGGCAGTTCAGAAGGCACTCCATCTTCATAATTGATTTATTTCTCCCCGTCAACTTCCCTGCAGTCACTAGTTCAGCCACTGCAGTGCTGCACGCAACGTGTGGTGGCTGACATGAGTCACAAGATACAGAGGCTGAGCTGCTGACCTCAAGGAGAAGGTGAAAGGGAGGAATGTCTACTTCAGGCAAGGCCTAGGAAAACCATTATAAAAATAAGCGGGTTAAGAATTCCCTTTGTATTCCTTCTATAGTGAATAGGCCCTGGGGCACCTTTACCCACATGTATTGCTCTACAGTCAGCTTCACCATACAATCAGTCACCACGTACTCTGTCCAGACAGAGCACCGACAACATAGAAGGCTTTTAATACAGCCAAACCAGCAGCTTTTTGGTCAGTCAGAGTAACCTGGTGTTCGGCAGCTTGGAGCCTGTGTCAGAACAATGTAGATAAGCAATGGCTAGAGGAAGAATTACTTTGCCACATCACCCTGCCATACATCCACAGGATCCAGTTACCAAACACAAGGAGTGTTCTG